TACTGGTATAATATAAAAATTCGAGATCGAGAACATTTCATGCAGGTTTTTTGAATAATTTTTGCTTTAACAAAGTTTACATATTTAGAGTAATACAAAATAGTTTCCTTTACTTATATGTAATAATAAAAATCCAAAGTACGTAATCTATGAATATGTTTTTATGAAAAATATTGAGAGATTGGATATGAAAAAGTAGGATAAACGTGCGTGTGGTGTTGTTGAGAAGTGATTGAATAACCTCTAAAATAATATAAATAAATGTGTTAATTTATTAAATTTACAAAATAGCGAGTAGAACCAGTGATTATTTAATAATTCATGTTGCGATAATAATTTATAATATAAGGATTTGTTTTCCCTTTTGTGGGTTAATAGCAAAAATAACCAGTGAACTAGATAGTGATAGTACAACGTTTTGATTTTCCTGATTTACTGAAAATGGTAAATGGAGAATATTATATAATATATGGTTAAACAATAATATTTTTTACCAATCTTTGATTGTAATATCTTTTGACAAAAAATATGCGAGTCAAAACGTTATTGTTATTTTTACCAAATATTCTGAACCGATAACGATATTGATCATGATTGGCCTATATTTGTCATATACGAGTATATCAAAATTTTCTTTGATAAGTATAACAAAGTTGTTTCTGTAATGATTATAGATTTTTCGATTCTATTTATTTCTGACAAACATTTTGATATTGTCTATTTGGCTGTTTATATACTTTATCGTGCATTTTTATCATGCTGCCATGTGTAGAACAAAACACTCTAATAAAGTTCATGCAAAATCTAGTTGTTTTAGCTCTAAGATAACATACATGTATATTGGGGACCAATATCCATAATATCTTCGAATTCAATTTGAAAATTACATTTCATTGTGTCAAGAATTACAAAAACATATTTTGTTTTTTTTTTAGCAAAACATTATTAATATATTAAGCACAAAGTGAAAAATAAAAATTTCGTTTATAAGGTGGGTCTTGAGAGAAATAAACTAAGAAAAATTTACGATAAAGTATTTCCAGTCGGGCTATCAAAAAAGGTCATCATAAACGAGGTAGACACAAAATATTTACCAAGGATAGAAATAAATTAATTAATCGAAATATCTATTCAATTTGGAAGTTGTATATATATATTTATATGTATATATATATATATATATATATATATATATAAATTTGAAAAGAATTGTTTTATGTTATGATGCATCTTATTATGGTTATCTTCATAATCTTCAAATTTGATGAAAATGACCATTAGACGATTGAAATGTGATTTTGTTGCAATTTTTTACTTTGAAACGCTTATGATGTAAAGTATTTTGATGTGAAGTGCTTCAGACGTGTTATTTCAGAAAAAGGATCATTTACAAACGATATAGTTTTCAGAATTATTTTATTTTATTAGAACCTGATTTTTTTTAAAAAAATTAGCCATATTGTAAAATGTTATATTCTATATCTGAATTGTATATTTGTATTCATAGTAATAAATGTGTTTATAGTTACTATTTATTAAAATCCTGAACTAGTTTGTAAGATGTATATCGAGCGTGGATATGTGCTACTAATTAAATTATGTGTATATTGTTTAATATTATATTGCTGAATAATGAGTATTAAATGTTTGTGAATATCTATTGTATAAAGTATAATATATAATTTGAATGGGGCTACATTAATTGGTTTTTGATATAAAATGTTGTTTCTTTTATAATAAAGTTAGGACGTGTATGAATAAAATATTTCATATCATAAATTATATTATTATACACTCAGCTACACAAGTTTTTTCACATCCACACATATAATGTGAAGATTCATAAATTTAATTGTATATTACAAAATCCACAATGTGTATTAAAAAATGTAAATATTTAATAAAATGGTCATTTTAAATATAGTACATATCCTCTCTTATTTTTTATGAGCACCGACAGGTAAAAATTGAGTTGGGCTATAATCAAACTATTAATTATAATGTTATATTATTCTAGTATCAATATTAAAAGATAAATCTACAAGCGAAGGGCATATTTATAATTAACTTCCCGTAGGTAATCGCAAAAAATCGAAAATGAAAATTTTTATATATCTACGTTTCAGAGGTTTCTGAACATTTTGCCATACCTTAGAAAAATGGATGTATGTGTGTGTGTTTGTGCGGATACAAATCTTCGTCGACGATTTTGGGAACACGGCTCAACCGATTTCAGTTATTCAAAAAACATTCGATTCCTATTGATAAGGAGACGATTCCTATTGATAAGCAGGTCTACATGTTTTGAATATTCGGGGCATAAAGTGCCAAAAACGGTATTTATATATATTTACTCAGTTTTTAAGAGAACGGAGCGTCCGATTTCAATACTTCAAAAAACATTTTACTTGTATTGACAAGATGAAGAACTGATTAAATTTTTGTGAAGGCAGATCTAGCGGTTTCGGATATCTAGTAAAAAAAGTAAAAAAACGCCATTTTGAGGTCAAAAATGATCATTAGACATATGCACATCAAATTATCAGATATTCTATGTAGATTTTAATAATGTGTATCAATTTTGTTTCCATTTCTATGGGTTTCGTATCATCGTTTGTCCGTTAGACGGCGACGCGGCGCTTACGCGCAGCGATGTTGCGTCTCTATGCAGTTAAAGCAGTGCCATTGCTTTGAAAAAAGTTTAAAATTTTCAAAGTATTTCAAACTGAAATAAAAACATTTTTTTTTCAAAAAATTATTATTTTTTTCAAAAAATTAAAATTTCTCAAAATCTATTTTTTTAAGTTTAAAACATATATATTTTTTTCTAATTTAATTTTTGGTGGAATTCCAGCAATTTGCCGATGCCATGCACCACTAGTTTTTCTGAACTGCTGTATTGGACTGTGAGCTTCCCAGTAGATATAAAAGTAGCTAATTTACGGACTAGTTACAACAACGATTACGATTTTTTATCATTATCAATAAAAATTTATTTAAAAATTAAAAGGTAGTCTATGAAAATTGAAAATTACATTAACATATTTGAATTCATAACAATTTTACTCGTTAGAGTAATATAAACGGTATAGACTGGTATAAAAGACACTAGTAGCGCCAGTGTTAATTAGTTTGTACTAATTTGCACTGTGCACATAGACAGTAATATAAGGTATTATGTTTACTTATCTATGTATATGACTGAGATTTTATTACAAATTGTCCTGACAGAGAATTGTGTTTTTGTAAGTATCCTAGGCGATAAGTCACGGGGAAATTCGTTTTCTGTTAAAATGAAGTTTTTTTAGCAAATATCGGACCAATTTTTATAAAAGAATCCGGCTGGAGCAGTTATTAATTGCAGTAATTAATGTATTTTGTTGGAAAGGTTTATTTGTTTAAAAAGTTATTTTTGCTATCTTCGATTTTCGTTTTCTATAGAAAAGCCTAATTCACTTTGCCCGATGTAATATTGTTTACAAAACTTGTTTCATCATTATGTTGAGATAATCTCTTTAAACATTTTTTTTTATTGAATCGCTGGTGGAATATAATGACTATTGTTGTATTCATATACATTTAAAAATTTTCAAAAGATTTTTTTATTTAATTTTTAATCTCGGTCCTATTTTCGTTTTTTTTATAATTATTATTTTGGCGTTGCAAAAAAGATTCCACGATTCGGTAGTGTGGTTGCGCCTTATGTATTTTGTTTTTTGATTTTTGTCCATATATTTATCACTTCATGTGTATTCTAAATCGATACTTGTTCTGCTGTGTAGAAATGTAGAGTGAAGTGAGTTGAATATTGCCCATGTATCGATAATTTTACATTGATTTCAATGTTGAATGTTTAACTTGCGAGAAATGCATTACATAATAATCACAATAATTATGTATTTTTCTAGCGTATAATAAAGAGTTTTGAAATTCATGAGTATACGTAAGCGTAAAGTGCAATTTATTGTGAGCGGCTTTCGACTGTGAAGTTGGTGTTACTGTCTCCGCAATCGATATATTTTTCGAGTTAGATAAAAGATTGCTGTTGATCTGGTAATACTGACACATAAGTTTCAATATGTGCATGTTGTTAACATTAGCAATGGCTTCAACTAAGTAATCTGAGCTTCAAGCGGTAAAAATCAACCGTCGCTATCCGATTGATTTTTGTTGTAAAGGCGTTTACATATAATCAGTCTTGTTTATTTTTTATGTATATCGGTTGTGAATGTGTACAATGTAAAAGTAAACAGTGTGTTGTGTATTATATTAAAGCTAAATAGAGACGCGTTGCATTTTGGGGTTTCTAGTAGTGTGTAGTGAAGAAATGTGTTGCAATGGCGGGTACAATTCTGAAGTGGAAAAATGTTGTTAACCCTACCGGGCCTCAACCTAGACCTCGCCATGGACACCGTGCTGTTGCTATTAAGGATCTTATGGTAGTTTTTGGCGGTGGAAATAATGGAATAGTTCGGGAATTACATGTTTATAATACAGGTAATACTTTGCTTACTGTTGCAATGGCGATGTATATTGTATTTTTTTTAAATGAGTTAGGTTATTATTAATATATTTATGTTATGAAAATTTAATTTCAATTAGTACGTTCTCATACTTGGATTTAGTCAAAATTGTGTAATATACGAGTTCAGGTGTATTAGATTTTGTTTTTGTCAAAAAGCAATATGGCTGCCAAGAAAGCCGACAGCTTTTAATACCGCTTTCATACGCTTTTATAAACATATTCGCTATTGTTTATATGACACGAAATGAAATTGTATTTATGACCGTGCGCAAATGACAGTATCGGATTATAAAATTAGTTACTTTATAGTAATACATAACTAAATTTATATAAAATTTTATTATTATAAAATTAAAAAAAATTTAAAAATTGATTATTGTTTTTGTGTTTTAAATCCTTTTGCTATGAACATAAAAATTTATCACATAACTTTTTCATACTTTAGCTACAAATCAATGGTTTGTCCCTGTAACAAAGGAGATGTTCCTCCTGGCTGTGCTGCCTATGGCTTTGTAGTAGATGGTACACGAATATTGGTATTTGGTGGCATGGTGGAGTATGGGAAATATTCTAACGAACTTTATGAATTACAGGTAAGAAAAATAGTGCAAAACCGTTATTTAGAAATGTAAATTTGTTGATGTCAATGCAAGTATTTCTGATCATTGTTAATAATTAAATACTAAGTTATAATTCATACTTTAGAGCTACTTTTATCTTTATTTAATAATAAATATTAACTATAAATTTATTATTGTGCAACATAAAAATGCAGATTTTTTGTTTTTGCTAGTAAGGCATTGTTTTTATACATTTAAGGCTTCACGTTGGGAATGGAGGCATTTAGAACCTATTACAAGGGACAGTTCAATACTACCACCCATGTCCAAGATTAGGTCATTCTTCCACACTTGTAGGAAATAAGGTTTATTTGTTTGGAGGCTTAGCCAATGATAGTGATGACC